AGCCAGAAATGGCGCTCCTGGACCACCATAGTGGACATCGCACGACCCAGAGACCGCGCCGTAAACCACCCTTGTGCAAGTCCCTCAGTGCCTTGGCCTGGTGCACTTGCAATCACGCCGTAGCGTGTAAGGCGGAGGCAGCTTCTCCACAGGTCGTATAAGCATCGCTGGCCAGTCGAGTACCTACAGACCCGGGAGGGGAGGCACGGTTCTCCCTGCCGGTTGGAGGCGGTATTAGGACACAACTGCATCGTAACCGACCACTCCACCGGGGGGACCCTTGTTGGTGAGGGAGGAGGAACCAGCAGATCGGTTTCCGGCAGTAAAAAGTGCCGTCCACGACCTGGTGAGCTCCTCATGCACCTCCGGGAAGAAAGGCACCGAGGCGGGGCGCGGACCACCCCGAGAACTAATCGTGCAACCTTGAGGGCTCAGGACATGGTGGAAGTCTCCACTCGAGCCCTACCCCTACGGCGGCCCGGGAAAGCATAGCCATTATTTCTGGATCCGATTCAGGCATTGTTACAGTCCTGGAGGAGAGGAGAGCAGCACAGCCGAATCTTCCTCTCCAGAAAGTTCTGGCTCACCCTCCGATGCAGCAATCGACATCTGGTCGTTGGGAGGAGCGCCAAAGGATACGGCTGGTACGCTCCTTGTAGAGGGCCCAGCACGTTCCATTGGCAGCTCAACTGGCTGCGGAGTGCCTCAGACCGCCCACGCTACTGCCTGAAGTAGCCCCCCCCTGGCTGCCTCCATGAGGAGAACTAGATCGAGGCAGAGGCAACAGAACTCCGCCCCTTGAGGAAACGAAGCTTGGCCCGCGACTCCGAGATGATCATCTTCCCGCAATGAGAAGATGACTCATCCACAAATGCCACCTCGGCGTGCTACATGCCCAGGCACGTGAGGCAGCGATCGTGACCATCACCCAGCACCAGGTAACGACCGCATCCAGAAACGCACGGGTGATACGTTGTCTATAGCAAGACCCACATCGTCTTTACAAAGACGTAACGTCAAGTTCGCCATGCAACGTCGTCTTTAAAAAGACGCATCCGAAATTGCTCTTTTAGGGAAAAAGCTCTTTTAGCGTGCTGAGGCGCACAGGGGAGATGATCACCTGCAACACAAACAAGGGGTAGTGCAGCCTGATGTGTGCAACCCACTCGACACGGGAAACCACCACCGCTGAAGTGCCATACCGCCAACACGACGAGCTCTCCAAGAGCGTGCTGAACTCATTCAGTCTTCTTCTCTCAGTAGAGTAGTCAGGAGCTGTGATCGCTCGGCTTTGAAGCGAAAAGCTGAATATGCGCTGCATCTGCTGCCTACTTATACTCA